AGCAGTGAAATTGAGTAATCCCCTCGCTTGTAGAATATTCGCAGCTGTTTTGCTACGTTCCATCCGCATGTGAAATCATCCGATAAAATTGAATCGGTGAAGCTCTCCATCAGTCGAATTCTCCATTGAAAATCTGATTAATCAATTGAATTCACTCTAGAATCCATTGTAATTCTCCTATTTTGAAGCTTCATCATCTTCGAGTATGGGACAGCAAACACCTCTGCAATGTTCAAGATGCGGTAAGCAAATGAAACTGCAGAAAATCGACAAAAATCTACCATCGAATGTGAGCTTCACTAAGTTTGAATGCTTGTTGAGCGCAAAAATGCTGAAAATAAAAACTTTCATTCTCGTGAGACTATCAAATTTGTATTGTCGAAAGGTTGCATTCACATTTCTGAATAGCAATTCACGATTGCAGGTGATGAATTATTTCGTGGATCAACGAGATGCGATAAAAGCAATGTTGAAATCTGTGTCGCCCTATGTGCAATTCCAAGAAAATCAATTGAAACGCTTAACCAAACGTTTCGCAGAGACCGTATGTGGACTCCATCGATTCAGTTGTCCTTTTTCGAACACTTATCAGTGATAATCACACATTCGTATAGTCGACTTTGATGGCGATATTTTAAGTCTATTTGAGCTATTGCTATTGGAAAGAATACATGGGATTTTTTGTGTGCATTCATGCTTCATTACACGATTTGCTTTGGTGTTTCAGCGTGTTCACAACGAACAGCTGAGAAACTGTTGTATGCAAATGGTCAAAACAAAGTCCGAACTGGAATCGTAAGTCTACTTTGGATTTTTACTATGAGTAAATTCATTAGATATTAATGAAGATATATCTTATAAGATCTTATTCTTCATTCAATTAAAAAGTACACATTTTCGTGATTGTTTTATCTATTCAGAATGGTCATTTTGTTTATTGAAAATTATAGGCAAGTGGCATTATTGCACAAAGCGCGAAGCGTGAAAAATGAACGAAAACAAGCGGTTACTGCATCTACTGATAGTCCGATGGATGTATCAACGTGAGTTAAACTTTCTGAATTCATGTTCGTATTATTTTGCGCACTGTTCAGTCATATTCTATCATATTATTCGTTAGGTCTTAACCTAAACTCATCATCCTTTCTTGATATCATTCCGCAATACTTCCGTTAAATGTGCCCAGTATATTAACACGTGTCATATGCATCGCTCCGATTGCTTCACTGTGCGCAGTCAACAGTTTTGTCAGTGGGAGGATTTGAGTGTTTTCGAAGTCGAATGTTTTTTAAGACTTACAACTGACTATAAGTGAAACAATCGCACACTTTTCAGAATACCGTCTGAAGCAGTGAACTATAGAAGTCACCAACAGAAGCAACTGTCTACACCGTCTACACTCACTGATGGTGCGAGTGAAATTCTTTTCACAACGATTACTTGCGATTTGAATGCGCAACTTGCCCATTCCTTCTGCACTGAAATTTATTCATGCTGCGCTAGTGCTTCTACATATATGCTGAGAATTTCCATACACTTCAAAAAATTGCTCTTCTTTAGTTGACGAGGTAGACATTGTTCCATTTCGCGAGTGTTTTTATCAGGAACTTCCCCGTAGAAATCAGCCAACTCGATTTTTTTCTTCATGAACTCAATAGCATGTTTTTTGGTTACCAGGATCACCGAACTTGTCTGGAACTTCACATACACTCGTGCCAATCGCGCAAAGGTTTGACTCGTCAATCAACTCATCTGTGGTAAGCTGTGGTCTTGTATTCTTTTGTAAATATGATTTGAAAGTCAGATCCTTGAAAACACTGCGTACAGCATCTCGAATATTCCAGCGCTGTCTCTCCTCATATCAGTATTATCCTGCAGGATTAAGGTGAACAGAAATAGAGTTTGAACAATCGTTCAGCACTGATTAATTTAGCGAAAGACCTGTTTCGGCCTTTTGTTCCATTGAGTATTAATGTCTCTCGATTATACTGTTATCTTATAAGGTCTGATAACATTCATAAAACGTATCTGTCAATGAATTGTTCCGCATATTTGAAATATTTCACTGTATCGTATGCGGAAATTCGGTTTCGCGTAAGATTGCGCGTTTGATTAGAATTATTTATGGTCGTTGACAGGAATGAGAATTTTAAGATCACAGCAATGGATCAGATGTTGAATAGTAACACCAACCCATCGACACAGCCGTCATCAGCTACTGGCCAGCGAAATAATTCTTCGGTGAGGGTCAATCTCTTACGAAACCTTGAATGAGGAAACATTAAAGTTTGATTGAAGACTTGGTTGATTTCATTCTTAGCTGACCATTTCAAGTGGGCTGTTCACCTGATTTTGACTATCTTTTTAGGAAACGAAATCATTTCCGGAATCCAATCTACGTGGCGCCTTTCTATCATCGGTATGATTTTTTTTNTTTTTTTTGGTTGACGCAGCTCAAAGGACCAACCTCCTTTTAAGTTTTTAGTATAGGTTTAGATTCAACTCTCTATTTGTATGACTTTATGTGCGGGTAATGTATTTTATTGTAGACAGCTGCTGGTAGAGAACGAGATCAGATTCGTTCATCGACGAAACTCACTCAGCAACCGATAACGAACCCTCCACGAAAGCGGTATGAATTCGTTGTTTGCGCTTTCATTCTTTTGAATGCAAGTATTCTGATGTGTGCCTTATAAGACTTGTTACTCAAAACCATTGATGTTTGGCAAAAATTTGTTAGTCATTTTTGTAGCAGTTTTGTTTGCTGAAAATTTTGGACTTCAGTTGTTATTTTCAAATGCTGAATGTGGTGGAAATCTCAATTGAAATTATACTTGAAGTGATCATTATGGTAACGTCTCGCGTTGCGCCAAAACTGCACCCGTACGAAAGACACCACAGGAGCATAACTTCTAAATGACGTGCAATGAGTGCCTCGCCTTTTTCACGGTAATTCCTCCTGATTTATGCAATCTTTCAATCTGTTTGGGAATTCCACAGTTCTTTGGATCATCAGCGCTTCATGTGGTTTTTGGACATATATATCAGTCACTCGATGCGTGAGAGTGGTGATCTCAATAGACGTTTGTGTAATTTGCCTTACGATATGCTGTTTACAGGAGCATTCTGTGTACATGTAACTGCATTTCTAATGATGGTGATAATGAAAATTAGAGCAGTAAAAGTATTTATCAGTGATTGTAGTAGGGAGATGAGGTATCATCGAAAGCCCTTGTTGTCACATGATGAGATGGTAAAAAGCAGTGATTCTGATAGTCATCAATGTCCCTGATTGTGTTGCTGATTTGCGAACGTTTGTAAGTCTTTTCAGAGAAAATGATATCAACATAGCAGAACGGTGATGTTGTTTGGTTATTATTGTCCTCTTATACGGCACAATTTTTGTTATTATGTGAACAGATCAATACCGACTGAATCAATCGATCCATCAATTTTCAATATGAACTACACCATTGGTCTCCGTTCAACTTCAAAATAGATTAATATTTTTCTCATATCACTTCATCCGCAAGAATTTGAAATCTTTGTTCATCAGTATTTTTTTGGACATTGGTAGTCGATCATATATTGTAGTAGAATTGTACATGGAAATCATTTGGTGCAATCGCAGCTCAGTCGTTCTCTTGTGTAATAAACTCTTCAACATATGCGAGTCATTATCTGTCATCAGTTATCGTTCATTCAACTATTGCATAATAGTGATCGTCTGTTTGTTTGCTTGCGGTTCAAACGAGGTTCTTTGATAGCTTGAACGGGCGATTTCAGAGGATGAATTCGAATGGGATGGATCGAGGAGAAACTGACTGGAATGAATAAACTTTAGTTAGGGCTTATAGAACTGCACAGTAAACTTCATTTTTAAGACGAAATCAAGAGCATGCCATATCGAAAGCTCACTTCATGCTTCACAATTGTTCATCTAGACATCTTGATTTTTTATTCAAAGACAGTTCATAATTGAAGAATGTGTTTATTGAGTGTTCATAATTGAAGGTATGTGAAAGCTTAGATTTCGAATGTTGAGTGGTTCTTGTTGTTCAGTTTGATTATGATGAAACTTCATCTTGTGATTATGGCACGAATGATCTTCATTTCATTATTACTTTTCTGTTATCTGTTCTCATCTATATATAGGAATCTTTTTGTCATGTAAAACGTCGTCGATGTATTTTAAGTTGTTGTTTTGTTCGTGTTCCCGTATAAATTTATTGCAAATTCTTCATTAGTTTTTAAGCGATTTTCTGTTTTCGCATTAACTTTCGCAATCGTCATCATTTTCGCTTTCTAACATTACAACGATTTCTCTGATTTTCATAAATGCGATAATTTTTTCGTTGCATTAGTGAATTTGGTACAAAACAGATTATGAGCGTTCATTCGTCATGTCCGATCTTACACTGATGTTTTTGAATGAGCAATTGTAAAGTTAATTTTCACGCATAATTTCGAGGAAACAGCAATAAAATGATTATTCAACAAGTGATCGTATGTTGAGCAACAAAAATCGAATGATGAACAATTTGATCAGTGAGGTAATCAGGAAATCTTATTCATATGATTGTTGAAAGCGGTTTTTTGGAAAAATTTAGCAATTGAGTGATAAATTGATCAGTTTTAAGTTCTGAATAGTTTCGGTTATATTCGATGAAACGTGCATTGCTGATAAATTTAGTCGTTTTGTTCAGTTTTCAGTGGTTATTAGCGTGAGGTGAGCAGCCCTTGTGGTGATCAGAAGTAATCGAGATCAGAAGAGTTTCTATTTGAACGATGCTATTTTAATTCTCCGTAATGTTTTACTGTTGGAAATAGCTTAAAGGATGTCAAATTACTAGTTGTTGTCATGTTGAGATTGCTTCGTGTACGATTGATCAGCATTTGATCCATCAAAATTTGCAATCAAGGTCAAAATACCGGTATTAAAACAGTTGATTGTAGATCAACTAAACTAAACAACATGATTCATTACCTCATCTGGTATTTTCTCGGAAATGATACTGTGAACATTCTTTTTACTGGAATCTTCAGTACAAAATTAATAGTTCAGCGAATCCATTAATACGAAAATGTGTTTCCAGATATTATTTACTACTTATTTCTTGTTATGACGTCCTTCATTCCTATAAGTGCTAACTGAGTAAACGACTAAATAAAGATTCTTTAAACATTGATAACTGCCTTTCTCTCCTACTCCTTATTTAGTTACTTTTCATAATCGTTCAAAGCAAAATTCCAACACCGATTTTCACGCTGATCTTCGGTGGTTGATTAGCTTGTGAACGCAAAATCCTAGTCATTTATTG